CCCCAAAACCCCAAAACCCCAAAACCCCAAGTACTCCAAGCGTTCTGATCATAATAAAATATCTAAAATGGCACTAAAGATTTTATCCTTTTTACTCCCATTACTCGTGTTTACAAGCTGTGAACTCCTACATGTGATCGAATTTTTCAGACACGGTGCTAGAACTCCCATGGTTGATTCTGACATAATCAAAACCGGTGCAAAATATAAATAGTAGAGAATTGACAGAGAAAGGGATGGTAGAGGAGTTCGCACTTGGGAGAGAGTTTAGAGACAGGTACCTACCCCTACTATCAATACATAATTCAAGTAAGCCAATGCTAAAACTTTAGCAAAATTTCATGAACAAGACCTATTCCCATCAGAAATCTTTGTCAGGTCAACCAGCAGAGAAAGGACAATCAACACTGCAAAGAGTAAGTTAATGGGAATTTACTCACAAGACTCAGTTTGTGAACAACGACCAGATATAATGAGGGCCAACTACGAAGCAGTGCACAACTATGCTGAAGTCAATGTGCCTATATATACAGAGAACTATCACGAGGAAGACGAATTCTTAGGGAATGGAAATTGATATTTACTCCAAATTGATTGGCTCCAAAGGCTCAATAATAAAAGTTTCTGGAACACACTAAATCATCGATATGATAATCCCAGATATCACGATTTGTACAAAACCTTGGAAGAGTACTTTTCAATTAGTCTTAAAGAAAACTCTTTCGTGGCAGGGTACCTCCTTTCTGATTACCTTATCTCAATGAAACATGAAACAGGAGAGTCACCTATTTTGGACGAAGATTTGCTGAATTCTTTCACTGAGGCATTTATGGATAACATACTGTCAGAAACAAGCCTAAAAGTATTTGTTTCAAGATTATTAAGCCCCCTAATACCCTTCCTTCAAGGCCAAGAGTGTCTGTTACCCAGATCCAAGGCTATCCTGATATCTACTCATGATTTTCACCTACATCACATCCTAAAAACAGTCTCCTCACCTCAACCAATTCCGTTCTCTTCCAGAATCACTTTCGAGCTTCACTCAGACCCAGCCAGAGTCTCTCTTCTCAAAGACGGGAAGCCTACAGACCTTAACGCTTGTGGGAGCCCTACATGTTCCTTATAGAAGAATTTATAGCTTACTTGGAAGACAAACTTTTGAGTCCTGAAGAAATTAAGAAATATTGAAAGTTAAGAGATGGAGAAGAGCCTATAAGCAAGAACCTTGATATCCCTGGAGTCTTTTTGGAATATTTAGAAAGCATCAAAGAATAAATTTACTCTTGATAAAAATGATATCACAAACCCTTCTTGCCAAAGCTGGCTTTGATTACTAGCACTTTCTATCAATTAACTATCCCTCAAGAAATCTTTTTAAAATTCATAACACTCTAATTTTGAAGTACAGAAGTTAATTTTATCTAAACATTTTAAACCAAAAATCTGTACTAAACCTTCCTTAAAATCTCATATTCTTCCAAATCTTCTCCTAACCCTGTATTTCCAATATTCCTACACACCATAAGCTCTCTTGCTAACACTTTATCTTCTGTCTGTTTTTTATCCTTAATCTCCGAGTCTTCATCATTCCTGCCTCAATTATCCAATTCTTCTTCAATAAATCTCTTGGCCACACAAGGTTTCTTCAAACCCAAAACTTCTAAATTAACTTAATTTCAACAAAAATCTCAAACAGATCTCTTAGGTGAATCAAAGTCTTGGCCAAGGCTGTGTGGCTATAAGTCGACAAAGGGGAGGAAGAGGAAAGAAGGGGTTTAGATAAGATGCAGTAATAAGATTTAATACGATTCTGGAATTTTTCTAAATTAATATACCATATATTAACATTGCCAATATCTCACTCATACCCAGGGGTTTTGGGGTTTTGGGGTTTTGGGGTTTTGGGG